TCTGTCCATGTTCATAAAAAACTTATGGAACATTGTCCAGTCATCTTCATCTATATATGAAACAAACTCGATAACTACCAGTATCCTCCCTAACAATTTTTCATGGTCTGTCATTCTGAATAGTTCATCTCCATTCAGGTGCAAAATCACAGAAAAGTGAGAACGCACCCTCTCATCATTGCATACATGAACCACAAGAGTTTTCTTCCCAACTCCAGCGTCACCAATGATTGGAATCACGGCCGGAGAACCAGGAGTGTTGTGGTCCAGCAAGAACCTGATGATCTGCTGCCTCTCGACATGGCGACCAAACATGAAGTTATCGATGTAAAGATATGCATCATAGGGTCTACGAGAGATGCGCTCGCATCCCCCCAAAAGCACGACAAACTCCGCCATGTTAGCAACACTAGCCTCTAGGTTCTGCAGCGCACTTTGCAAGTCTGGTTCGAGAACCTTGTTTGTTCCACGAGTACCGATTGTGCGAGAACGTTTGTAAGGAGTAGAAACAGGTAAGGCGGATGCGTCACATACCAATTCCTCAGCAACATCTTTGTGTTTTCCATACTTGATGGTGTCAAGCGCATGGTGGCCTTGGTACATGGCTGCTGCTAGGGTCTTCAGCTGTATGAGCATACAAGAGTTGGTGATGTACCGCGAGTCTGCCTCCTCGACGACCATGCCAACTCTCAGCAAGAGGTGTTGCAGCCTCTCCACCTTCTCCTCCAAGCACGCGTGATCTGCGTACTTGTTCATCAGGAAAGAGATGAAACGGTTCGAGAGATCACCTGCGACAGCGGCTATGACAAGATCCATCTTGAGATGTTCTAAGGTAGGTGGTTTATGAGGGCAAAAAGATGCAGTTTATGTATAGACGCACGGTATTGTCATTGATATACTCTGTATATATTCAACCGATATTCCGGTCAATAAACTCCCATGGTGAGGTACGATGTCTGCGTTCACAGTTGATGTCTGGGACAGGAACCTGTTTTATAGTGACAGGTGAGCGGCTATTTTGCCCGCTGTTGGGAGGCCGGTGAGATGGACATAATTTCTAGTCAACCTTCTGAGCCTACGGCTGCTGCTGCATCACAGGAAAAAGAAAGACTATGGCATGGGAGGAAACTTCTGAGCTTTCAGCAAGCTAGATGCAATTCGTCGAGGTCTTGTCCAGACTGCGGTCTGCCTTTTGACGGTAATACATTCAAGTCGCTATTTTTATTTCCAACTTACTTGGTTCCTTTTAAAGGCGCGTTGAGGAAAAAAAAAAGAGTAATCTTCACTTCCTTTTATTTCCAATTTACTTAGTTTCTTGCCCTTTCTTACCGCTAGTAGTCTAGTACTAGTACTACTATTAGTAAAGGCAATGAATTTTTTGTTGCATGACTTAGTTAATTAGTACTTCCTCCGTCCCAAAATAAGTGTCTCAAACTTAGTACAACTTTGTACTAAAGCTAGTACAAACTTTGTACATTTTTTTAAGAAACACCACGGGGAGCTCCCCACCTGAATATTAAGAACAGTAAAACTGAACCCTTTCCAAGCCTTCTCACGCACCCACAGATTTAGGCCGTCGGATCGCGCATATCGGCCGTCCCTGGCCGTCCAAGGCACTTTTTCTCCCGCATGGGCTGATACTGGGCCGGTTCGGTTTGTCCTTGGGCAGCTATTCCCGTGGCCAAATCCAAAGCTTCTCGTTCGCTGACATTCTCCAACGTTGGATGCCGAACGAATGAACTTGATTCTGCTTTGCCCCCTGAAAAAAAAGGATTCTGTTGTGGGTCTTCGCAGCCCCCATCCACTTCCCCTCCCCTTCCCGCACACGCCTCGCACTTCCACACCCCCGACCCCTCAGGTGCGCCGCCTCTGCCATTGTCACCGGCTCACCGCGGAGAGAGAAAGAGAGTGCTGACGATGGCAACGACGGCCCAAACGGATTGCCAAGCACATCATGCAAAGTGGAGCCGCTCGGATCTCTGCCCTTCTAGACCGAGTCTCCAAACCTCTCACGAAAAGAAGGGATCATGGCGATGGCGGCGGCCGGAGTCACTTCCTCCATCATCGACAGGTCCGTGTACCTCTCCTCTTTCCGTGCATCCCCTGTTTTCTATGAATCGCTTTCTCGGTCTGGTCTCGGAAGACGATGTATGTGAGCCTGCTGCCGCTGCCCCCACGAAGGAAGAGGCGCCCTGAGAGGTTGTCGAGGCCGAAAGCGGCCAGAAGAGAAAGCTCGAGGAGGTCGATGCGGTCGTGCAGGCGAACGGCGCCGGGAAGGACGCCAACCAACCGTGCGTGGAAGGCAACGTGCAGGTTAATCTTTCCATCACCCCACCCCTCTATATCCAAGACTTGGTAATGCTGATGACCGTTCTGAACATATGAGCAGGGACAACGTGAACCTGCAAAACCAAATAAGAAAATGAGCATGTACACTATTATGAAAATTGCAACCCAAACTTATTAAAGAATGGAGATCTCACCTCATCCACAAGGAGCAATCCCCGCTCCCTGTTATATTATCAGGTTCAATTTCGGCTGATGCTAATGCCTACATGGTCAATATATACTTGGTTTGCAAACAGCCTGACTGACTGCTGATTTGGTTGGACCCACAAATTCGTTCATGTTACTGGCATAGAAGATGCGATTTCTGGAACCTTTGGAATCTTTAGAAGCCATGTAATATGACGACTGCTGTTTTCGAAGCTATGGCACAACACTAGGACAATATTACATTTTTCTTATACGATGCAAATAAAATGGCCCTGATAACAAACAAATGCTCTACAGATCCACAAGGCCCGCCACGTGGCAGGAACTAAATTCACATAGTTTTACTCATCGAGTACTTATTGTGAAGCCAGTATCACTTTGCCAGAAGAAGCTGTGAGGTTCCTCAGATCCCCGATATAGCTTATGTTCTAGGTATGATAATGCTTCTCAGGTAGTCTCTCAATTTAGTACCAAAATGGTTGGGACGTTATGCGGCCTAGCTTCAACATTCAGTTGTCTTTTTGTGTTGAATTTTTGACTGGGTTAACATGAGCTAATGAAAGTCAGACATTGTTTTGCTTGTGTACCCCCATATTTTGACACAAAGGTTCATAACTGGTTTGCTTTTCGTTTTTGCCACAAGCTTTGGTTAATCAACACATGCATGAGCAATTGAGCGGTATATTATCTCAGGAGTCTTCTCTGCTGTTGCTCAACTCAGATGTAATGATGTGAAGTACAACCACCAATATTTATTTCTGGACTAAAAATTACTTGGTGCATGATGTCCGCCACGCTTTTGATCTACCTCCACATCGGTCGTGCCTTTCCCTGCGAAGTGGGACGAGGCTCAATCACGATGGCAAAGAGGAGTTTTCCAAGATGACTCACACCATGCCAAGATGTGTTTGTAAATAAGTAATTTTTCTAACTATTTAAGCTTAGTAGCAATGTCGTTTTCTCTTGGTGTGGCAAAAATTATGCTGGATTTAAAGAAGAGCACATTCTTCACGGTGGTAAAATGAGATCCGATTTAATACAGAAAGTCATGATTTGTGAGGAATAGCTATATGCCTTCTTGTTGTTTTGAATTGTGTGCATAAATAGAAGCTATCGAAGTATACTTTGTAACTGAATCATGTTCTCATTTTGCAGTTATGCTAGCAGAGAGTTTAAGCTATCGAAGTATACTGAAGAGATGTGAAATTTACATCAAATGGTTCAAGAACTAGCATCTAAGGTATATTAAGATACTAGTTTATAGGAATTCGGCACTGCACACTACTTTCAGGTTTTTCAAGTTTTCAAGAAATTATTCAAGTCTGCTACTTCAATACTCTCAGCCGCCATCTTATTTCCTCACTCTAGGCAGCGGAGCTATAGCCTACACTTCTTGTCGTGCTCCCTGTGATCCGCCTACTCATCTTGATCCGAAAATCAAGGGTAATTGTAATGTAGTCCCTCTCCTCATGGTCGTTATACTTCACGTATCCTCTCAGCCGAGCCTATGCATCTGGGCTGAAGCATTGTGTAATGTTCCACATGTGTTGTGTTTGAATACCACGCAGAAGATTCATGAGGCACTTTCTGTTAAGAGAAAAATTCACTGTAGGTCACTAAACTTGAGCTGGTTGACAGTTTAGTACCACTACTTCAAAATACCCAAATTACGGTCCATGTACTTGCGCACGGGGTTCACTTTGATCCATTTATACGATTTTGTCTACGTATTTGCTGACTTGTCCAAGTCAGCGGCCGCCAGCTCGCTTTGACCGCCACCTGGTCATGCCTAGGGTGAATACTAGTCCATCCAGGATTTTTTTTTTGTAAAAACGCCAGCGCGTCGGGTTCCTCCGCTCCCTCGGCCTCGGCCCCGGCCCCGACGACCTCGCCGCCTACCCGCTCGACTTGCGCGGCTGGTCAAGTCGGTCGACGCGGACCCGTTCTTCAAGAGCCAGAAAATAGTCTTCGGCCGACGCCTACCTCCGCGCCTCGCTCCCGCTGCAGGCCCTGCTCGTCCTCCGCGGGCTCCTCCCGCGCGCGCCCCGCCTCCTCGCCAACTCCTTCTCCCTCGCCCTCCGCCGCGCTCGCCTCGTCCTCCGCCGCGACCCGGCCTCTCGGCGCCTCGCTCCACGCGCGCGCGGTCAGGTCCGGCTTCGCCGCCGCCGACCTCTTCGTGCGCACCGCGCTCGTCGAGATGTACGCCAAGTCGGGCCGCGCGGAGCTCGCGCACGCCGCGTTCGACGAGGCACCCCGCCGGGACGTGTTCCTCTGCAACGTCATGCTCGCGTCCTACGTCGCGCGCGGCGAGGTGCCGGAGGCGAGGAGGGTGTTGGACGGAATGTGGGACAGGGACCTGGTGTCCTGGAACACGATGATCCACGGGTACGCCGTGAGAGGGGACGTCGGCATGGCGAGGGAGATATTCGACGCGACAAGCGACAGGGACGCCTTCTCGTGGATCTCGATGATCTCCGCGTATGCCAAGGGCCGTCGGTCCAAGGATGCGAGCGGCGCGCGTCGCTCCAGACTGCATCACCATGGTCAGCGTGCTCTCGACGTGCAGCGACATGGGGGCGCTGACCATTGGCGCAGAGGTACACCAGTTTGTCGAGAGCCACAGGGTTGAGGTAGACATGAAGCTCGGTACTGCTCTGGTCGACATGTATGCCAAGTGCGGTGACATTGAGACTTGTTTGAAGGTGTTCCGCGCTATGCCTGTGATGGACGTGCTTACTTGGAAATAGTAAAAGCCAGGGCGGCAACGTGGAACTCGCCAACGCTACAGCACGGGGAACTCGCCAACCAACAAAACCAATCGGATGGAAGGAAAATTGCGCAAGGAACGCTCGAGAAACAACCGAAAACTTCTCCACCAATCAATTGATTGATTAATTAATTAATCAAAGTTCAAAGTACATGGACGACGAAAATGCGCGGAGGAACAACACACCTGAATGGATACACTACACTGGAGAAGGGAAGGTGACAGGAGAGGAGGCTAATCATCAAGCACGGACAACAACACAGATGTACAACAGCATCAAAACACACGTAGGCAGCACCATGAACCGTGGCTCGCGTCTCAGACAAACGGCTTGTACTAGACACAGAACAAGTTCGCCATGGTTCACCTGGCACAAAGAAGAAGCAGAGCAAGCAGAGGTCAGTTCAGGATTTTCCTCGCAGTTTTCTGAACCAAAAAAAGATGGTTCCTCTGTTTTTGGAACAGAGATGGGAGTAACAAGAGGCTGCAGGGCGCTTCTCTTTTGGTTTTGCAAAATTCTTTTGCTTGGAAGATGCATCATTTGTTGTGTGGTTCACACGACGGACTATATCTGTTTAGGTTTTTATACAGAAAAAATTGTCTTTGTAAATTCTGTAGAAGACTCTACAGAACAGAAAATACCCGGGAAACATAACAAGTTCCCCCGAGGTTAGGCATGCATACCTAGAGGCAGGCAGAGGTGAGGAGCCCCTCCGGTGATGACCCAGACTGCGTAGATGATGTCGGGGAGGTAGCCGAAGAAGGTGAGCAGCAAGCAGATCCAGAACTCGATCTGCAAAACCACGTTCAGCAGCACGAGCAGTCAATTAGCCCAACTCTCGACGGAATCACGAGCCCACTGCGAAGTTAAACGTGCAGCTAGGGCGGGGCAGGGACAGAGCTGGGTCGGGCGCTCACCCCGCAGGCGAACTTGAAGAAGACGCCGAGCGGCGGCAGGATGACGGCGAGGATGATGTCGATGCAGTTGGCCGTCCCCTCGTCCGCCATCTTCCTTCTTCCTTCTCTCTCTCGAAGCGCCGAAGGGAAAGCCAAGGGAGATGGTGTGAACAAGGAGCGCGAGACAGGTAGGTGGAGTAGAGTGATGTGGCGGTGGTGTGTGATGCCCAGACGAGCCCGGGATTATAAAGACGGCGAGGCAACGGGGAGAGGGCAACCGTTGGCGAGGTTACGTTACGTGCCCGGCTCGTGCGGCGGTGCGGGCGGGCGGCCGCGGGATGATGCTCCCATCCCATGAGCCGAGCCGGCAGGCGGGGTTGGATCATGTGGGAAGAATCGGATGCTACGGCGGTGCCCTCGTGCGGTCGTGCGCCCGCTTCGCTGTTGGTTCGGCTCCAACGGCCGGCGCCGACCCCCTTCACGACCAGAAATCGCTACCCAGATGACGCCGCCGATCTGCCGCCTGGCGACGCCGATGCCGACGAGGTAGGCGACGGAGGTGTTCATGGTGCCCTCGAGCACGCGCGGCACGTCGCCGGGCTTGAAGTCCATCCCCTGGAGGTACTCGACGACGGGCACGAGGTCGACGACGATGCTGGCGTGGAGCACCTGCGGGTAGCGGCAGAGCAGGTGCGGGAGCTCGCCGCGGCGGACGCCGGACCATGTTCTTGCGGACGCTGCAGCCGAGGGCGAGCGGGTAGGCCGGCGAGGTCGTCGGGGCCGGGGCCGAGCGCGGCGGAGGGCGAGGGAGAGGGAGAAGGAGTTGGCGAGGAGGCGGGGCGCGCGCGGGAGGAGCCCGCGGAGGACGAGCAGGGCCTGCAGCGGGAGCGAGGCGCGGAGGTAGGCGCGCATGACGGTGCTGACGACGAACGGGTCCGCGTCGGCCGACTTAGACCAGCCGCGCAAGTCGGGCGGCGAGGTCGTCGGGACTAGGTGACGGTCAAAGCGAGCTGGCGGCCGCTGACTTACAAGTCAGCAAATACATAGACGAAATCGTATAAATGGATCAAAGTGAACCCCGTGCACAAGTACATGGACCATAGTTCGGGTATTTTAAAGTAGTGGTACTAAACTGTCAACCAGCTCAAGTTTAGTGACCTACAGTGAATTTTTCTCATACCACTACATCGCTGGCCCAGAGCCTAAGCCAGGCCATGTTCGACAACTAGGTCAAAATCGGACGTGAGGGAACGATTTCATAGGCTTAATCGCTTCCTTGGATATTTAACCCTAGAGAGCTTAGTGATTTAGCTGATTCAAAACTCACAAGTATTATAGTAGAAATTACTCCCTGGGCACAAGAAATTGCCATAAGGAGAACCGGCGCTATTTTGAAAAGAAGTTAAACAACTTCAAAATTAGAATCTCCAAAAGCCTACAACCAGCGTGCCCTTCATCTCGCTGCCTGCTACCCCTTGCTATCAATATGCTTAGTGTCTCCTTTGCCTGCTCCAGCTCTTCGGCAGTTTGCACTATGTACCTTGCTCAAGTTTGGTCGCGCAGTGTCGCCCGAATGATAGTGTGTTGTGTCGTCCCTCCGTCTATGTGACCGGCGGTGAACCCGGCAGCGGTAATTGAGATTGGCAGACAGTGAGATGGTAGCAAGCTGATGCGACACTCTGCTTGTGCAGGAGATAGAGGGCAAATCTCGACTCAGCAGCCGACACGGACCTGTTGGATAAGTCAATCTACCTAACAAAATTTACTTGTTTTTATAACAGGAGACAGTACTATAGGCTTCTTGTCCAACTCGGATTCCTAATGCATCACATTCCCGGAGGATTATCTATAGGTGGCTCCAACACCACTTGTTTTAGAACCGAGGCATATGCACGGCCTTAAAATGACGTCCTTTCAGGGTTCGAACAAGGTTCATGGGTTTGCAGGACACAAAGGCAGATGTCAAGACATGAACAAGGCTGCAAAGGGCAACACTAATGCTCGATACATGGCCATCCAATTCCCAATGGATTATATATAGGTCACTCTCACCCTTCGTGATGCCACTTGTTTTGTCGCTTTCTCGCTTTCTTTCCCACCAGTCACTCCCTCTCTTCTCCACCAACTGTGTTTTATAGAAAAGATACATAGCAATAAGTGCATAGTCCAACCACTCAAGAGGTACAAGATCTAGATTTCCGCCCCACGTCCGCGTCGCCTCCGCCCAGGCGACTCGGGCATCCCCAACAGCCGCCGTCCACCACCCATCTCCGACCTCCCCCCTCCCCCTGCCGCCGCCAGCGGTCGCCGCCGGGCAAAGCCCGTGCGGGGACGGCAAGGATCCACTTCCATGGTGGCAGCGAGGATCTTCCCCATCGTGGCAGCGGCGGATCTGGCTCTTCGACGACGGAGGCTTAGGCGGCATAGTCTCTCTGAGGCACCGGCAAGGGAGGGCGGGATCCGGCGATCTACGGCTGGGACTCCGTGGCTACTGCACCCTCGCTCCAGGATAGGCTTGGGCGGGCCTATGGAGTGACGGTGATGTGGCAGGCGGTGTGGCGGTGGCGGTTGCTTCGTACTGCGCGCTTGCGTGGCGGTGGCGGCAGTCGGCCAGGGGGCGGAGAGTCCTGCTTGTCAGGCGTGGTGGCGGCGAGTCTCGCGGCCTCTGGGCATCGTGGAGGTGCCGGCGGCGCCGTGTGCTCAGCCTGATGGCGGCGGCCGTGCATGGGAGTTGGATTCCTTCAAATAGATCTGGGTGAAAACTTTCTTTCGGCTACTGCCAAGGCTGGCGGTGGCGGTGCTATCTGCAGCGTTCCCTTCTTGAAGACATCGCCATGGAGAAGTTTAAGGGGAAACCCTAGATCGGATGATCGGAAGACGGCGACGCTCTGGTGGCGTTCCCCTCTTGGGGGCGTCATTCTTGGATGTACACACGTAATCGAGGGACCAGAGGAAGGATTCTTTGGTGGAGCGGTGCGTAATCTCACTCATTGATGGCGGCGGATCTCGACGGCATGGCACCGTGGTGACTCAGCGTCCGATGCGCGGAGATGGACTCGCGCAGGAGGGTGACGCGATCTAGCATCATGGTGGCGTCGATGACAGCTAGACCGGGCAAGGTAGATGCAGCAGTACAGCTCTGAAGATGGATTGGTGGCAGGTGGCTGCGGCGGCCTCATACCCGGCAGGCGTCCTGGTTGAGGAGTGCGCCGGACCGGTGGGTGCCCCATACCTGGCAGGCGTCCTGGATGGGACCTCAGGTCTTAGATGTTAGGTTTGGCTGCGAGGTCTGTTTGGTATTAGGCCCAGACTATCAACATCCGTTCATCATTTGGATAGGAGTAGCGACAGATGTTGCATAAACGGTGGCTTTAGTCTTACTGTTGTATTATTTTGTAAAGTCTTGTCTGAACATTTAATAAAGTGGTTGCATGCATCGTCCAGATGCAGAGGCCGGGGGTCTTCCTCCTTTTCTAAAAAGTAAACTCAAGAGGTACAAAGTTAAGTGTTTCCACGGTTCACACGACGTGGAAGATCTTCATACATTATGTAAAGTTCCTTGTAAAGATAGCTCAAAATGAACTGATGACTCGAGCTACTGAAGAAATACTCTATGTACTCTGTTTTCAATATGCGGCACTTCATTTTGTGGTTCCATTTACCGCTGACTATTGAAGACATCACAAATTTGATAAGATTGTTGGTGATGGCTGCACCTCAGTGACCAATTTGTTCCTTTTATGTGAACCTACATGTATTTTTACAGTGTGTTTATCGCATTACACGGAGAAAGCTAAAAAGCTTGTATTTCATCTCATTCAATTAAACTCCCTGCACAGCTGGACGAACAACCAACAAAACTGAACTATGTGTGTTTGTACAGTCTGGAATTTTATGATAATAGCTTGCAAATGCCATCATGACTAAACTATGGACTTACCTAGAAACAAATATCACATATTATGACTGGAAAAAGAGGCCAGAGGTTATCCCCCTTTTTGGAAAGAAAAAATAATGACTAGAAAAAGATGAAAGATATAGCATATGGTTGGTCAGAATAACCTGGGGAGTACTAGGTTGAATGTATATATGTCAATAATAATACCATCAGCATCCCACCGTTTGCATGATGAAAGAACAGATAAAATCAGTAAGAACGGCTAAATAAATATAGAACAGTTGGATTCATAAAGAAAACCGGTAGACACTAGACAGTTAACAAAGACTAGAACAAGTCATGTTATTTATACTCTTTACTTGAATAATAAAATATTATGCAAACATGTAGGCTAAACTATTTCAAATGATACCCTTTTCGGTTTTCTAGCTCTTCCTTCACAATTATTATACGAGAAAATGCTCACAATTAGAATCTCCAAAGCTACCACCACTTGTCGTCTGCTACCCCTCCCCGTCAGTAGGCTTAGTGTCTTCTCTGCCTGCTCCAGCTCGTCCGCCTTTTGCACTCTGGACCATGCTCAGGTGGCGTAGGATGGCCTCGATGATGGCGTAGCGTCCTGCTTCCATCTGGCTGACTCCCAAGCCTGGTTAGTACTACCGCTCTCTTTTCCGGTCACCTTGATTTTGTGTGAGGCTAGCAAACCACAACTAAGAAGCTGACACAGACCTGTTGTACAGGTCAATCCACCTAACATGATTTACTTGTTTGGATCACATAATAGAGGATCCGGGGCTACTTCTCCAACTCGAATTCCTAATGTATCTCATTCCCAAATGGAGTTGTATAGGTTGCTCTAGCGCCACTTGCTGTGTCACTCTCACCTTCGTGATGCCACTTGTTTTGTCGCGCTTACCCTTTCTTTCCCACTAACCACTCCCTCTCTTCTCTCCACCAATGGTGTTTTATAGACAAGATCCATAGCTATAGGTGCACGGTTCAACCACTGAAGAGGTACAAACTTAAGTGTTCCAAGGACCGCCCGGCGTCGAAGATGTTCACACATTAATAAGGTTCCTTGTAAAGATATCACAAAACGAAGAGCTAGATAGTCTCCCTCAGCTATTGAAGGAATACTCTCTGTACTCTGTTTTCAATGTGTAGCACTTCATTTTGTGGTCCATTTACCCCTTACTATTAAAGATATCACATGTTTTATTAGATTGTTGGTGATGGCTGCACATCCGTGACCAATTTGTCCCTTTTATTGTGAACCTGCTTGTAGTTTTACAATGTGTATATTATTTCATTCATTCAGTTAAAGTCCCCGCACACCTAGACGAGCAATCAACAAAACTGAACTCTCTGTGTTTGTACAGTCTGGTATGATAATACTCCCTCCGTTCCCAAATATTTGTCTTTCTAGAGATTTCAACAAACGACTACATAAGGAGCTAAATGAGTGAATCTACACTCTAAAATATGTCTATATACATCCGTATGTTGTAGTTCATTTGAAATGTTTAGAAAGACAAATATTTGGGAACGGAGGGAGTAGGTTACAAATGCCATCATGCATAAACTGTGGACTTACCTGGAGACAAAACTCACATGTTATGACTGGAAAAGAAAAATGAAAGATATAGCATATGTCAGGTCAAAATAACATGGGGAGTAATAGGTTGAATGTGTATACGTCCAATAAGAAAACCATCAGCATCCCACCGTTTCCATGAAAGAACAGATAAAATCAGTAAGAACGGCTAAATATAAAACAGTTGAATTCAGAAAGAAAATTGTAGACACTAGACAGTTAACAAAGACTAGAACTATATCAAAGATAACAGCCTGCCTGCAAAAACGCTGCGAGAGTTCAAAATAACCATTCCCCTCCAACTCCAAACAACAGGATACACCAAAAAACTGAAGGATATATAACCAAAAAGAAATGCATCAAGTTCCTTGTAAAGATCATCATACACCTCAGTAGATGTCATGCATGAATGGGCATTACAACAAGCAAATTTAAACAGCATCCGTGCAAAAAATGTTGCAAGATCCTACAAATAATCGTTCCCCTAACACATTAAACAACAAAGATACATCAAGAAACGAATGGTGAATCGGCTTTATAACAAGCAAGAACTTGCATATTACAGGAAGCTGGTTACACCTCTCGTTTCTGTGGGGGCAACATACTCGAATTTAATCAAAAAGCATTCAACACCGGTCTAAACTTCGAAGGGGGTAAAAGTATTGTCATTGGCTAACTACTTTTTTTTTGACTGAACATTGGCTAACTACTTGTGACAACCTGGAGACAAATCTCACATGATGAACTAGAAAAATTGGAAAGGTATAACATATGTCAGGTCAAAATAACCTGGGGACTAATAGGTTGATGGGCACAGAGCCAAATCGAAATCCGGAGTCTATATGTGCAATAAGATAACCAACCATAAACATATTGCATCCCACTGTAACATGAAAGAAAAGTTAACACCAAGCCTGCCAAAATGCTGCAAGACCTCAAAAATAACCATTTCCTTCCAAACAGCTGGATACATCAATCAAGGAACTAAAAGATACAGCCAAATAAATAAATGCATCAAGTTCCACAGGCAACGGGATGCTGTGTTGTTGGAGCACGCACAGGACACCTCAGTAGATATCATGGATGAGTGGCCCATCAAAAAAGAAATCATGGATGAGTGGGCATTACAACAAGCAACAACTTGCCTACAAATTGGAGGCCAAAGCGGCAATCAGCAGCGGCGCCAGGAATACTATACGCCCCAGGCCGACCCAGGCAACCTTCAGAGCAATGTAGCTATAGTGCCGCACTATAGCTATAGTCAATGAAGGAATCAGCGCCCACGCCCCAGGCAGCGGCCCGGGCTGCCTGGGGCCTGTCTTCGCCACTGGCGGCAATGATAGCTGGGAATGGGACTCAGTGAGATGAAAGCAAGCTGCTCCGCCACTTGGGTTGTGCGGGAGAGACCGGGGATACTCAACTGAGAAGCTGACATGGACCTGTTGCGTAGTTCGATCTAGCTCACATGGCAACGCTCGGGCCCTCTTCTCCAACTCGAGTTCCTAATGCATCTCATTCCCAAACGGTTCATCTATAAGTGTTTCGTTTTGTCACTCTCACCCTTGGTGATGCCACTTGTTTTGTCGCTCTCTGCTTTCTTCTCCACCAACTGTGCTTTATAGAAAAGATCCATAGCTATAGGTGCACAATTCAACCACTCAAGAGGTACAAACTTGAGTGTTTGCCCGGATCGCCCGACGTCGAAGATCTTCATACATTTATGCAAGGTTCCTTGAAATGAAATCACAAAATGAACTGATGACTCGAGCTACGTGGTCTTCGTCAGCTACCGAAGAAATACTCTATGTACTCTGTTTTCACTCTGTTTTCAATATGCAGTACTTTATTTCGTGGTTCCATTTGCCCCTGAAAATTAAAGATATCTCATATTTTGTAAGATTATTGGTGATGGCTGCACATAAATCCGATTTGTTCCTTTTATTGCGAACCTGTGTGCATTTCTTACAATGTGTTTATCGCATTACATGGAGAAACTAAAGTTAAACTGCCCATACAGCAGGAAGAGCGATAACAAAACTGAACTCTGTTTATACAGTCAGGAATTTTAGAGAAATAAAATGCTCTTTTGAGTTCCGGGCTCACATCGACTTACTGGAGACAAATCTCACATGATGAACTGGGAAAAAAATAATGAAAGGTATAGCATATATCAAGTCAAAATAACCTGGGGAGTAATAGGTTGAATACATATGTGCAATAAGAAAACCATCAGCATCCCAGTGTTTGCATGAAAGTACAGCATATAGTACCATTGAATTCGGAAAGTATTTAATATATGAGCCAAATCTTTATTGTGTTTAATATATGAGGCAAATCTTTTCCCTCTGTTTCGAAAACAAAAAAAAAAAAACTGGTAGACAGTTGACAAAGACTAGAACTAAATATATCAAAGATAACAGCATGCCTACAAAAACGCTGCAAAACCTCATAATAATCATTTCCCTCCAAACGACTGGATACATCAAGAAACTGAAAGATACAGCCATTAAATAAGAAATGTATCAAATGCCACGTAGGAGCACGCACAGGACACCTCAGTAGCTATCATGGATGAATGGGCATTACAACAAGCAACAACTTGTGTATTACATGAAACCGGGAACACTGCTCCTTTGCGAGTACACGGGAGCAGCATACTTGTGAATTTAACCCAAATTCGTCCAACACGAGTCAAAATTACACCAGGGGTGGAAGTACCACCACTAGCTAACTACTTGCGATGCCGTCCGCCACCACCACCTCTCCCTGGTGAATGTCGGCCTCCACGTTGTTGTGGTCTTCTACCACGGAAGGATGAGTTCCCCTGATTAAACTGCCCCGAATTGAATTGCATAGGAGGCTGACCTCCATCTCCACGGGGCGAAGGTAGCGAATTGAACTGCATAGGAGGCTGACCTCCATCTCCGTGGGGTGATGGTAGCGAATTGAACTGCATAGGAGGCTGGCCTCCATCTCCGTGCGGTGATGGTAGGGAATTGAACTGCATAGGAGGCTGGCCTCCATCTCCGTGTGGTGATGGGAGGCGCCCATCTCCTTGCATGTTTGCATTTCCAGGAGGCTGATCTCCATCTTCATGTTGTGATGGGAAGCGCCCAAATCCTTGGGTGTTGGGAAATCCAGCAGGTGGCGCTTGGTTGCCAGCCATGTGTGGAAACTGACCAAAGTTGCCTTGCCCCATAGGAAATTGAGATGCCTGACCAAAAGGATGATTTACCGGCAGTCCACCAAATGGCATCATGTTTGCACTCATTGTGCTCCCTGGCATAAATTGTTGCTGGGCCATGGGCATTCCATTTGGGAAGCCACCAAAGTTCTGATTCTGTAAATACTGCTGGAACTGGTTGGCTCCCATAAGTATATTCTGCATAATATTAGCTGCAAGAGCAGCTCCATCAACTCCCATGTTTGGCTGCCCTGGAGGTGGAAGCCCGCCGGGCCAAACCATATTTGGCAGCTGAGAGAACTGCTGTGGATTGATGAAGCAACTGCCCATCTGATTTGCAAGTTGAACAGGTGATGGCATAGCATGATTCATTGAGATTGATGGCAGCATTGTTGGTGCGCTCATAGGGAAGTTTTGAGGACCCGTTTGTCGTGTTGCGCTGTCAGCAACAGCAGTTGCCATATCAGACCGGTGAAATCGAGGCTGTGGTCGGCGATCTGGTGTTGATGCATCATGGATTCTAGGTGGCATGTCCCTTGGTGTACTCATCAGATAATTTTGTTGACCCGACTGATGTGTCACACTGTCAGCCATATCCGAGCGATGGAAACGACGCTGTGACTGGTGACCAGATGTCGGTGTATCGTGGGTCCTCGGTGGCATGTCATTTCGAAATCCAGCACCCCTGGTCTGCGCCCTCTTCTTGTCACCAGAAGGTTTCTTAGAATCATGCGGCCTATCAGTCTGCCTTTTTACCAGTCGTAGTGATCTTTTGTACTCAGCCTCCTGCTCATCATCAGAGAATTCAGGTTCATCTGCCTCCTCATCATGGTCAGCAGATTCATCATAGCCTTTGGCATATAGCTCCTTCATATTTAGGATATGATCTGCAAACTCCGCAACAAAACAGACAGTAGTTCCTGCACTGATCCCAGCAGGCACTTCTTCCGCGGAATTATACCGCACAAGATAGTAAGGGTTTTTCACAGGTCCAAATATTTCATCAACAATGCCAAGTGGTGTCCTGCTCTCAGTTATCCAGAGTATAGAACCCTCAGTCAGGGGACTGTGTTCCACTGATCCTTCAACAATCACTCTCTCCCCCATGATCTGGATGACCAGAAAACAGACAACCAGTCAGTATATGGATCTCATAGGAAATATACTAGTATTTCAACAGTCTAAACAAGAACCCCTATCTGTCTAGAAAAATATCTAACAACACACTGGAAAAATATGCTATTCAAAATAATAGCTGCATTAATGAAATGTATAGACACCATCATCCAAACACTTACAAATTCCAGAATGCATTACTAATACAGTAGAAACATACATCAGTAAGTACCATAGATCTCTGGTTCTTACATTACAATTAGCTACTGGTTTTAACACGTACAGATAACGGTGACTGATTAAATCATCATCACATTACATAGAAAGAACAGGTACCTATAAAGTGCTGGAAAAATAAAGTTTTTGTTTCCAACAAATGCAAACAAAAATCTAGCTGAAGTCAAAGTTAAATTCAAGACTTACAGCTGTAATTGTTCCCACTGGAAGTGCCTTATGATGTGGTTCCAACTGCACTTCAATCTTTGGAACTGGAGGAAATACCTGCAAGATATATGGTACATCTACTTTAGAATAGAGATACAATCAAGGAAGAAGGAACAATGATATTTTAACAGTTATATGTGTGGTTTTGGCATAGTTAAAAAAGGCGCGCCTAGCTCTATGCGATAGCAAAATGTCAAGTGCTTAAGTGTGCGCTTTGGTCAGAAAAGCACAAGGCAGTGGCAAACACACAATTAACGCCTAGTGCTTTTTTTAACTCTGGTTTTTGGCAACTGAGCCCAAGTGTGTTCATGTAGCAACTACATAGTAACAGAAAATAATTTGTCGCTATGGTAGCTACAGAAAGTGCAGGATTTTCAGAAGATCAAATGGATAACTAAGCATTAACTTCTACTGGGCTATCAATTAAAAAAATGACCATGAAACAAATATTTATACAAGTCAGCTGCATCTAACTAGAACCAAATTCTAACATGCTAGCAAGGGATTCGCAGTATACTAGACACAAGAGAGGTGCACAGCGTGAGATAAACTTAATACCTCTACTTCATGTTTGGACTTGATAGGACCCTTTGGTGTTTCGTCATCATCCTCATCCTCGAGTCCAACCATCAGTTCACCCTCTTCAAGGAGGGCCTCCATGTCACTGGGACCACTATGCTTTTTGGCCACCAGCACTTCCTCATCACTGCTCGACGAGGCTTCACTTGACTCCTCATCATTCTTGGCCGGCTCCTCCTCATCATCATCACTGCTCGATGAGGCTTCACTTAATTCCTCATCCTCACTGCTCTCCGACTCTTTGTCCTTGTTGTCCTCCTCCTCCTCCTTGCCTCCCCCACGCTCCACTTCCTCATTTACCAAGGCCCCAGAACTCATCTCAGCATCAACAGAAGCATTGGTACTAGTATCAGCATCAACGGCAGCTACGGTACTAGTATCAGAATGAAGAGCACCTGCGGTGCTCATCTCAGCGTCAACAGAAGCCCTAGTAATAGTCTCGGCATGAACAGCAGCTACGACACTAGTGTCAGAGTCAACAGCAGACATGGTAATATTGTCAGCAGCAACAGCAGCTACTGCACTCATCTCAGCATCAACGGGAGCTACGGTGCTAGCCGCAGAATGAACGGCAGCTACGGTACTAGCATCAGCATCACCAGCAGCTACAGTACACATCTCAGCATCAATCGCTGCCCCCAAACCATCCCCTTCTGCAACGAAATCGCCAATCCCCAACACGGGAGGCTGGTCCGGGCCAGGCTCCCCGCCCAATCCACCGCCCAGCAGCATCACGGCCTCCTTCTTGACCTCCAACAGGACGCCGGGAGGAGCATCCTCCCCCTCCTTCACGATTTGGTCCAAGCCCAACCCGCCGCCTCCGGACACCGACGCAAAATCAATCCCGCCCGGACCGGCGGCCGCCGCCTCGCCGAGGCCGAAGCTCTTGGCCAGCTCGCTCGCCATGGCCTGGTCGAAGTCGAAGTCGTCGAGGAGCCACTCCTCGACGGGGTCGAAGGCGACGGCGGCGGCCGGGTCGGAGGGGGGCGCGGGCGGCGGG